AGATAGATAGATAGATAGATAGATAGATAGATAGATAGATAGATAGACAGGAAGAAGAAGAAAAAACAAACAGCTGAAGCATGTTTCCTAGCCCTCTTTGTGCTGCTGTGATCCATTCCTATTTTTGTAGTTCCCACAATCACTCCAAACACAAATTTTTCTTTTCTTCCAGGCCGCGCCATCTCCTTTGTAACCAAGAACTTCTTTTCCAAAGCAAATGGGAACAGGGGCGGCGCTCCCAACGTGGCTGTGGTCATGGTGGACGGCTGGCCCACAGACAAAGTGGAAGAGGTGTCACGTGTTGCGAGAGAGTCCGGGATCAATGTCTTCTTCATCACTGTCGAGGGGGCTGCGGAAAGGGAGAAGCACTATGTGACGGAGCCCAACTTTGCCAGCAAGGTACAAAACTGCCCGGAGGGGGTGGGGGCGGGGGCACTCAAGGGCAGGAGCCTCTGCACTCTGAAAAGCTCTGATGACGTCAGAACTGTTTGCTAGAGCCTTCAAATGGGCATAAAACCCACAAGTAAGTGGTGGGGCGTCCCACGGGGGAACTGGAAGTGTCTTTTCAAAGCCAACACTTACTCTCACTGTGCACCCAGGAGCTTGCAAGCAGAGGGCGAGAGCAGCGTCCTCAGTGTCTCACTTAAAACGTCCCCTTGCTCCTCTCACGGCGCTGGGGGAGCCCAACCAGACAGACAGGTAGACTTCACACACACACACACACACACACACACACACACACACGCACGCATGTACGCACGCACGCACGCGCGCACACACACACACACACACACACACACACACACACACACGCGCGCGCGCGCGCGCACGCACATGCACGCCTGTGCGTGCTTTATAATACAACTGAATCCATCTGATAATGAAAACAAAGGATGTCTACACTTCCCAGATCAGAATGGTCATGTTCCTGTGATTCTCCTGGGTGGCCCCACACTTGCCCCAGAATTACACCTTGATACCCACATCACACCTCTCACCCTATGCTATTTCCAGCCCTAAACCACCTCCCAAGCCTCAGATAGTACTGCACCACTGGTCCATTCCCCTTTTGAATTTCCCCAGTTTACTCTGAAACATCTTGCCAGTCTGGGGTCCTTGCTCCGAGTCCTTCACCATTACCCATTGCTGCTGAGGTGTCCTGGAATGATGTCCCAACCTCCTTTCCTGGTCAAGTCTGCTGTAACCTCCACACTATGTCCCGGCCAAAACCTTTCCCCTCCACAGCCAGCACCACCACTGTCTCCTGCCAGGATTTCACACCGGCTGTCTCGTGGGATTCCTCCTCTCCACACACGAGCCAGCCCTCGGCTCTGTCCCAGCATTCATGCACCGAGGCTGTGGAAAGTTTCATGAGCCCCATTTCGGCTTTTACACATCAATAAGAAAATATTTTCTAGGAAAATGTTTAGTTATTTCTTGCTTAAAATAAATTTGTCGTTAATGCCAGTTCGTTTGTAGTCCTGACGTCGGACCCTGCCAAATCCCCAGGGGTCTGTAGGCTGGAGGATTGGTGACCACTCTCGGGACACCTTGTCACTTCTAAGAACGTAATAACCAACTCGCTCAGGCTTTATTTGCTGTTCCCTTCCATTTTTTTTTTCTTCTTTTTCTGGAACAAGCTCGGGCACAGACAAATAAACACTCATCTGCCTGGAGGCAGGGTTGTGTGGCAGGCAGGGCTCGGAGCTTAATGACAGATAAAACTGATGCTCCGGTCTCAGGGACTCAAGGATGTCCCTGCACAGCTGGCCCTTTGTTTCGTGATGAGGGGGTCCCACATCGTCCCCCACTGTAGGAGTGCCGTGTGACTCCAGCCCGTGTGGCCACTCAGCAACTGTGAATCCCCTCCCTCGGGCTACAGGGCTGCCCTGGGTACATCTCTGTTTGTGTATCAGAACAAAAGCTTTCTTTAATCCTCCCCTGCAATGGTTGGTACCCATAAACACCCCACTTCTGGCTGGTTTCCAGCACAAATGAGTTGAGGAGCCAGCAGAGGCATAAATATGAAGCTAAAGTCAACAATGCACATCTCCCTATGAGTCCGCACATCCCACCGTTTTCCACTAAGGCAGGGACCCAGCAAAGGGGACTGGAATGAGCCCAACTGTTACTGGAGGAGTCTTGACCACAGCAGTACCCAGGCAGAAAACTGGAATAAATGTACTGTAAAGTCTAACCCAGGAAGTACTGCTGTAAAACCTGCCTGGTGGTGATGATAATGTGGGCAGGCTGAAGGACTTGACCCCTGACCTGGACCACATCTTTCCTTTCTGCCTTCCAGGCGGTGTGCAGAACGAATGGCTTCTACTCCTTTAACGTGCAGAGCTGGCTCAGCCTTCACAAGACCGTGCAGCCCCTGGTGAAGCGGATCTGTGACACAGACCGCCTGGCCTGCAGCAAGACCTGTTTAAACTCTGCCGACATCGGCTTTGTCATTGATGGCTCGAGCAGCGTGGGGACGAGCAACTTCCGCACTCTTCTGCAGTTCGTGGCCAACATCAGCAAGGAGTTTGAGATTTCAGACACCGACACGCGCATTGGGGCCGTGCAGTACACCTACGAGCAGCGGCTGGAATTTGGATTCGACAAGTATAACAGCAAAAACGACATCCTCAGTGCCATCAGGAGGGTGGGGTACTGGAGCGGGGGCACCAGCACAGGGGCTGCCATCCAGTATGCCCTCGAACAACTCTTCAAGAAGTCCAAACCCAACAAGAGAAAGATAATGATCCTTATCACTGACGGCAGGTCCTACGACGATGTGCGGATCCCGGCCATGGCTGCCTACCGGAAGGGTGAGCACTCCTGCTATAAGTGTGGGCACAGCAGCGTTTCTGGAGGGGTAGAGGACCAGTGTCCTTGATGCACAGGGAGGAGCTGTCTTTTTATGCATTGGCTCTGTCTGTGACTTAAGGAAATGTGCACAGGGAGCTGGAGAGGCGGCCCAGTGGCTAGCTTTTGCTGCCCTTGCAGAGGACCCGGTTTCAGTTCCCAGCACCACATGGTGGCCCACACCCACCTGAAACTCCAGTTGGAGCATATTTGACATCTTCTTCCGATCTCTATGGGCACTTCACATGCATATGCACACAAACATTTATTTATTTATTTATTTATTTATTTATTTATTTATTTATATGTTCACAATCATGGGGAGAGTGTTAGGGAGAGAACCGTGTAGGCATCTCTAAGAAGGGGACACAGACTCAAATGGAGTCAGTCTATTGGTTCCTCAAGTATCCTTGAAAACCCAAAACCTGCAGGCAATAGAATAGTAACCCTTTCTTTTATACCCTGTGGCCTAAAACGCCTTCCACATGGGCATAAAAGCAGCAGGGGGGAGGGGAGGGGTTTGATTCCTGCTCTCTGAAAGATTACGAACCTCTAACTTTATTAACTCCAAATCATGTTTGTACATTTTATAGAATAATGATGCTTTTAAAGAAATGTAATATTGCAGGTGGCTATTCGTTTTTGCTTTGATTTTTTTCTGGGAGATATATATATATATATATATATATATATATTCAGAAATTCAGGCTGGCCTCAAACACAAAATCCTCCTGCCTCAACCTCCCAAGTGCTAGGATTATTAGCACATGCTACCATACCTAGATGCAAAATACTATTTTGGCAATGACAGTTAATCAGATCTTGGTCCTTTGGGGAAAATCTTGATTTAAAACATTTTAAAAGGTTTCCATGCCAAATTTCCTGAGGGTTCATACGATGACTCAGTGGGTAAAAACACTTACTCTGTAAGCCTGGGCATGAATTCGATCCCCCAAACCTACATAAAGGTGGAAGGAGAGAACTGACTCCTTCGCCCACACGCTCAGGGTGTGGCACACACATGACTGGGTCACATGTGTGCCCAGGCATACCCACACTAATAAATAAACAAATAAATCATTTAAAACCTTAAGAAGCCAAAAAAAGGTTTTTAAAACATGGAAGATGAACAAAATATTTCATAAAATTTACAAAAATCAATTGCATGGAGACATCTCCTGTACATAGGACACCTCCATGGACATAGGGTTCTTGTTCTGAGAAATGCTGTGAAATTAGAGCAGGCTTGAAGGAAGCATCAAGTAGTGAAGGTAGACCAAGAGCCAGACATGGTGGCTCACGCATCCCAGCATTCCAAAGGCAGAAGCAAACAGATCTCCGTGAGTCAAGGCCATCCTAGTCTGCATTGCAAGTTCTGGGCCAGTCAAGGCTGCATAGTGAAACCTTGTCTCAAAACACTAACAGACAAAAAAAAAAAAAAAAAAAAAGGAAATTGAGTGGTTAGCAATCTCTAGAGACCTAAGCAAGGGCACAGAACTCCGTACCACGGTTGGCTTTGTTGTTCTGCACCTATGTGTAATTGAGTTGCCTTCTAGAATATTCTATATACGTTTATAACTCTGTTTATTTATTATTTTATATGAATGGATGTTTTGCCTGCATGTGTGTCTGTACACCATATGCATGCAATGCCCTCTGCGGCCAGAAGATGGCGCTACATACTCCAGAACTGGAGTTACAGGCCTCTGTTCAGAGCTTTAATGACATGGATAGTTTCCTCTCTTAGTGCCCAACTCTGAAATTCAATCTGAAAATGCAATAAGGATTATGTTCCCTGGAGTGCCAAGTCCAGCCAGGGTGATCATCTGCCCATGTTGTTGGTGGAAATTTTCCCCAAAACAGTGGTCCTGGGGCCTAGAAAGCCCAGCTTCTGCTGCTGTTGTATAGTTTTGTTGTTGTTGTTGTTTTCTTTCTTTCTTTCTTTCTTTCTTTCTTTCTTTCTTTCTTTCTTTTTTTTTGAAGCACGATTAATAAAAACTCGGAGAAATTGGAGTTCAACCTGAAGGTCAGAAAAGAAAAATAGCCAGCCACCGACTCTTACCTCAACTTCAGTCTGAAAATGGTGATCCTGCCTCCAGGAATCTCAGACTGAGACTGAGGTTGAGAGGTGCCTCCTCCCATTTTATATTCCTCTCTAGTTCTGGGATCAAAGGCGTGCACCACCCAGTTTCTGTGGCAACTAGTGTGGCTGCGGGGATTCAAGGTGTGTGTACTGCTGCCTGGTCTATAAGGCTGACCAGTGGGGCTGTTTATTCTCTGATCTTCACGAAAACTTTACTTATTAAAATACATCTGAAATGCCACTATAGTTTTGACTGCATAAAGTCTTTCTGTCTTCAGTCAAAGGCCAACAAACAGCAAAACTGTTCTTGCTGCTCCTTGACAATACCGTAAAACCCACAGCTGGCTCCTTGCATCCTAGACAATAGAGAAAAGAAAAATGGGAACCAGCGCAAACCTGTAGTGAAGCAGTCATTGCTTCTTGCTCCATTCTATAGCGGAGATTCCCAGTATCAAGTCATCAGGAAGAGCATGTTCTCTGAGACTCTGGGTAGTATCGTCCTTACCTCTTCCTCAGTCTGACCTCCATCTACTGACACCCAGTGTCTGTGTCGGGCTCCATCTCTCCCTCCTTTTTTAAGGACCTAGTGGTATTGAATTAGGAGCGCATTCTCTTTCAGCATGACCTCTTTGCCACTTATTTCCTCATTATGTCTGCAAAAGACCCTATGCTCACACAGGGTCAAAAGACTATAAGCTCTTCAGACAATAGCTATATGATTTTGTTGCATTGTATAGGTGATGTTCAAAGCGCTTGTTGAATGAATAGTCACACTTAGCTTATTTCTAGAAATCAGACCTTCAGTGGAGTTCTCTCATTTGTTTTCTGATTTGGGGAATTCAGAGGGAAAATATTCATTGCTGTCCATTGGCTCAGGATGCTGTTTCATCCCGTCTTTGTGTCCACAGGGGTGATCACATATGCAGTAGGCATTGCTTGGGCTGCTCAGGACGAACTGGAAGTGATTGCCACTCACCCTGCGAGGGACCACTCCTTCTTTGTGGATGAGTTTGACAACCTCTACAAATTCGTCCCCAGGATCGTCAAGAATATTTGTACAGAGTTCAACTCACAGCCTCGGAACTGAGTTCGGGTCAGACAGTTGGCCATCTTACTGAATCTTGGGACTATCTGCCAACATTGCCCCTCTTGCTGGGGCATAAGAAGTGGGCAGAGCTTGGGTAGGGCTGGGAGAAATGCATGCATTGTTACTATTCTTTGCCATTGGTGGTTTAAATGCTTCAAAACCTGCCTGTTAATAAGCTGGCCGTTGAGTTCAAGGTTGGGTTCAAATGCTGCACTGTTTGGCGTGTTCTGAAGAGTTCACAATTTGACAGCTGTTTATATCCAGAAGACAGCTGTCATGACAGGCTTGAATTGAGCTTTTCTGAGGTGTTTGTTTTTATTTCTCATTAGACTACGTAACCTTTCATACGTTTCTTCTTTTTTGTCTTGAGATGGTAGGAGTGATTTAAATAAATGTTTAAAAAATTACATGGACATTTTCTGATCATGTGATGAGAAATTTCTAGGTGTGTGTGTGTGGGGACATCCTCTGCTATTCCTTTTCTTGCAAAAAAAAGAAAAAGAAAAAAAGAAAAGTCAGTACTAGTGCTGAGTATGCACTAAAACAAAGAGGGAGGAGCTTGACTGAGCTTTGTCTTCTCTACCAAGGACTGGTCTATTGGCTTGTGAAATACACATACAATTCATGCAAAGGAATGTTCAGTGATGAACAGGGGAGCACATGTGTGCTGTGGGATAACTGTACACTGTAAAGATTTATCACTCGCATTGGTTTAATAAAATGCTGTTTGGCCTGTAGCCAGGCAGGAAGTATTTGTGGGGTGACCAGATTAGGAGAATTCTGGAAAGTGGAAAGGCAGAGACATCACAAGCAAGACACAGAGGAAGTAAGATAAAAATGTCTTACTGAGAAAAGGTACCAAACCATGTAACTAAACATAGATAAAAATTATGGGTTAATTTAAGCTGTAAGAGCTAGTTAGTAATAAGTCTGAGCAATAGGTCAAACAGTTTATAATTAATATAAGCCTCTGTGTATTTATTTGGGACTGAATGACTATGGGACCAGGTAGGACACAAACTTCCATCAACACATGTCTATAATTCTAGCTACTCCAGAGGCTGGGGCAGAAGGATCATAAGTTCAAGATCTGATTGGTCAACTTAATGATACCCTGTCTCAAAATATAAAACAAACACATAAACAAAAAGGACCAGGGTATAGCTCAGTGGTAGAGGACTTGACCAGCATGCACAGAGTGCTTGATTCTAACCCCAGCACTTAAAAAAATATTAAGAAGATTCCTATATAAAGATGACTACTTACTAAAGCTTTATTTTATGAAAATATGTGGTGGAGTGGAGAGGTGGTTCAGCCATTATGAGCACGAACTGATTTTTCAGAAGACCAGGGCTCCATTCCCAGGACCTATAAGGCAGCTCACAATCATCTGTAACTCCACTTCAAGGGGATCCACTGCCCTCTGTCGCCTCCATGGGTACCAGGCATGCATGTAGTGAACAGCTATACACGCATGCAAAACACTTGTACACATAAAATATAAGTAAATAAATCTTTTTTAAAAGATGTGTTGAAAGCTGTTCTGGCTGGAGGCAAAAAATAAGAAATCTTGCAAATAAATAAAAACATATCAGACTTTTGGTCTGGTTAATTTTGGTCTGGAATGCTTTTATTTTAAAAATTGAGGCTTTTAACCAGTGAAAAGAATTTATACTAAGCTTACAAGATGTCTTAAAACCCACAATCAATACAGCACTAATTAAAAACATTATGGCCTGGGTTGGGAGAGGCTCAGTGGATAAGGTACTTACTGTACAAACATACGGATCTGAGTTTGGTTTCCCAGCAATCACTTAAGAGATGGATGGATAGCAACACATCTCTGCTCTTAGAAATGGAAACAGTCAGATCCTAGGTGCTCACTAGTCTGCCAATCTAGCCAAAACAGCTCCAGATTCAGGGAGAGACCATCTCAATAAAATAAGTTGGTAAGGAAACTGAGGAAGAGATCATCATGTCAATCTCTGTTTTCTATATATGCCTACATGACTGAAGACATGGTCAACAAATGTACATCTCTCTCTCTCTCTCTCTCTCTCTCTCTCTCACACACACACACACACACACACACACACACACACACACTCAGAAACACACTTTCTGGTTTACAGTAAAGAAAAAATTAAAGGAGACAGCAATTTCAAATTTTCTAATCATAAAATCTGATTTGCAATCAAATTGCAAACATTTTTTGCTACTGAATTTGAAAACATGAGAGCAACTTTTACAGAGGATGCTCCCCATGAAGTTGCAGTGATTCTCTGTGAGCGGCAGACTCAGGTAAGAAACTAATTAAACTACAAAGAAGGACCAGGGAGCAACCACTCTGCCTGATTTTGACTATGAAGATAATATACACAAAGGCTTGCTTGCCATGTTGCTTGGGTGTTTGTAAATATGCTATTTTAATTTTTCAAAGCCGTACTTTGGAAGATGTTCTTGAAATGTAATTACAGTTGTCCTTTAGAATCCAAAGGGGATGGTTCCAGCCACACACACACACCCATGAATCCCAAATCCTCAGATGCTGAGGTCCTTTATATGAAGCCATATAGTATTTGCAGATTTCTGTACACTCTCCCTCCCACATATCTACATTGGATCTAGATTACTTATAATACCTAAAAAGATGTAAATATATATTTTCCTGGGCTGAGAAGAAAGCTTAGTGGGTAAATACTTGCCACACAATCATGAAGACTAGTGTTCAGACCCCCGGCACCAACATAAACACCATGTGAGCATGGTGACGGGTTTCTAACCCCAGCGTGTGGGGTGTGGAGACGGGATCCCTGTTAACAGGCAGGCTGGCTACTCTAGCTGATTTAGTCAGTTCTGGGTTCAAATGGCAGATTCTAGCTCAACAGCTAAGGTGGAGCTGAGTCCAGGCAGACACACATTAGCCTCTGGCCTCTAGGCACACATGCGTGCACATGTGCATGCATCCACACATACATGTGAATACACATACATAAACACAAAGCATAAATTTTAAAACTACATATTATTGTATTGTTTTGAAAAAAACAAGTCTTGCATTCGGTGCTGATAGTTTTTAAAATAAATTTATTTATTTAACATCTCAGCTGCAGTTTCCCCTCCCTCCTCTCCTCCCAGCCCCTTCCCATCTCCGCACCCCCGATGTTCCGCCCCCCACTCCCCTTCTGTGGTGGTTTGAAAGAACTTGGCTCCCAAAGGGATTGGCACTATTAGGAGGTGTGGCCTTGTTGGAAAAAACCCTCTTCCCTGCCCTCCCCTCTCAGAAATGAGCACTGATGGACAGAAGCACTGAGGGAGCCTCTCTGGGTACCCGTGCCATATCAACTCCACTCAACCTGATTTTCCCACTTCTGAGAATTTGATAGCCTCTGGCAGAAGTGTCTTTGCTAAGGCTGGAAGCTTTGCAGCAAGGATCTGCGGGGGGAAAAAAAATCTTTTGGCCACACTGGCAAGGTTCAGATATTTCTTGTTTCTCTTGGCTTTTTAAATAACCCTTTTTGAACAGGGCAAGCCCTTCATAAAGCAACTTCCCCAGCTGCTGTCTCAGGGGCCAGCATGAGTTTATAGAAAATACAATCCTCCTGTGTCCAAGGAGTTTTTTCACCTTAAAGGAAGTTTCCAAATAATGTTATTTTTCCAGTCAAAGTCCCAAGAAGGCCTCCCCTTAGATTACAATATATAAATGAGTAAGTAGGAAATATTCTTGGAAGCATGAATTAAATTACTTTGGAAAAAGACATTTATTCAGCCAGAGTCTTTGGGGAATTTCTAGTCTGGTGGGAAGCACAGACAAATGAATTAAAATCTATAATTACTATCATGGGGTTATGCACTGAATGCATGGCTAGAGATTACAAACAATCTCATGAGAAATGAAATTGTAGTTATGCCTGACCGTGACAGTTGTAAACCAAGCATAATGTCAAGGCTGCACGCATTAACTTGCCTCCACTGTTTGCTGGGGAAGTCTTCTTATTTGGATCTCACAGATCATTCCTTTGAGGTCCTGGTTTTCAACCTTCCTAATGCGGCAACCCTTAAACACAAATTCCTCATGTTGTGGTAACCAACCATAAATTCGTATAATTGCTACTTCAGAACTGTAAGTTTGCTATTGTTACGGATCATAATGTAAATATCCAGGATGCAGGATATCTGATATGGGACCCCTATGAAAGGGTTGCTCAATAGCGCCCCCCAAGGGGGTTACAACCCACAGGTTGAGAGCCACTGCTTTAAGCCATGGAGATGTCTAAGGCCATAGACTTGGGAAAGGCGGATTGGAAAATCAAGCCCAGGGTCACTGCTAGGGTTTGAGTATGAACAATTCCCATGAAGGACTCCAGTGTGAGAGGCTCGGTCCCCAGCTCGTGGATCCAATCGAGGAAAGATTGTTGGATCACAAGGTCTCTAAACTCATCAGTAGGTTACTCCGCTGGTGGATTTGATGTCACTGCTTGGATGTGGGTCCCTACTGGAGGAAGTAGACTATGGGGCATTACTTGAAAGATGCCTTATTCCCATTTCCTTCTCTGTCTCTTGCTCCACCACGCTCTTGTGTTGAGATGCTCCACCTCACCATAGCCCAGAGACAAGAGAGAGGGCTGATAATGGGCTGAAACTCGGAAATTAGGAAACTAAGACCCTTAGCCCCTGTGCTTCTAACGACAGTGACATAAAGATGACCAACGTGACTGTATTGGACATTTTCCAGTAAGCTTGAAACCTCAAAATGTACACAGGATTCCATCAAGTATACTCTCAGGGGCTATTAAATGTGCACCATGAAGAGTCTGTGAAATGGGAAACGCCACTTTCTCCATCACTGTCCCTGATTCTGCGAACAGCCAGCCTGCTCATATCAGGTGGATAGTACCAATCTATTACCCACAGCCCCAGGTGGATGGTACCAATCTATTACCCACAGACCCATGGCATCCCTATGCTCACAGGGTTAATAAACTCTTACACACATGCCCTTCAAGGGTCAGACCAAATGCCAGCTCCCCTTCAGAGCCTCCTCTGGCTTGCTCAGAGGGACTATGGCTCTCTCTCTCTCCTGATCCACCCTCTCCTGACTCACCCACTTCTGACCCACAGGTGCCCGTGGTCCCTTCCCATTGGACACAACCCACACACATTACCATAGACACAGAACCCAGGAAATGAAATCTTTGTATCTGATGATGGTACCCAACACAAAGGCACAAGTAGAACAAGAGACAATGTTTCTTCTAGGAACAGGATGGCTAAGAGAGAGTCTCTAATTCTACCCTAGTTTCTTTCTTCCATTGTCTGCATGTGCTACTCAGGTCCCTTATCACATGGTATGATTACTGTATTTCTAGGACCAAAGTCCTCTATGAGACTGACTCTACCACAGGGA